CATTATTCTGTCTGCTAGATCATTAATTTGTTCCACTGCTTGCTGTTAATTCGAAGAAGGATGTTTCTCATTTAATTTATTGAGCCCTTTGTATCTGCTATGTTATTCCTTATTTCTGTGTTAATGGTCTCACTGATGTCCTCCACTCTTTTCTCAAGCCCAGTGAGTACTCTTATGATCATTGCTTTAAATTCTCCATTAGACATGTTATCTATACCTACTTCACTTAGATTTCCGGCTGTGGCCTTGTCCTGTTCTTTTGTTTGGAACAAATTCCTCTGTCTTCTCATTTTGTCTAAGTGTCTGTGCCTGTTTCCCTGTGTTAGGAAAGTTAGCTATGTCTCTTGTTCTTGAGGGTAATGGCTTTATGAAAAAGAGGTCCTGTAGTCCCCTGAAGTGTACTACTCTCTCTTCCCAAAGGCCTGGTTAATCTGGAAACACCTTAAACATGTGCTACATGTGCTCCACTGTAGTGTCTTAGCCATTTTATCCTTCTGGTCAGTCGTCTGAAGAGGCTCTCTTTGCCTGTTGTGGGCAGTGTTTGGTCTTGTCCTGAGTGAGAGGTGTCTTAACTAGATATGCTCTGGTCTGCTTGTGAAATGAGTCCTGTTGCCACCACCGTTGCCACCACCACTAGAATCAAAGCCACACAAAACTTCTGGGTGGGGAGACACGGTGTGGGCAGCGTTTTGGCTGGTCTTGTGGAGGAGGAGACTTGCTATGCCAGGGCTGAGGCACGCATGACTGGGAAGGGTAGTCCCACACAAGCATGTGGGTGTGGGGCTTAGCGTAAGCAAGTTAGGTAGGGTCAGTGCTACACTGGTTCCTGCAGGCGGCTGTGTGCTTTTGCTGAGGGATGGGGGGGCGGGGGGTGGCGGTGGATTTGTGCCTGTCAGTTCCTGTGTTCCTGGAGGGCTCTCTGTGAATGCTGTCTCTCTGGAAAATGCTCCAAGATGAGCAACTAACCTCCCCACTGTGTGTCCCTGGCGCTCTTCAGATCACTGCTTCCACACTGTATGTCCACAGGTTGTTTGCCTGCCTTCTCCCCAAGAGCAGTGCAGCACCCTCTGGGCTCTCCCTGAGCCATGGCTACCGACCTTTAGAACCCTAGGCTTTAAACACCACTGGTTGCAAGAACTCACAAAATTCAGCCCCTCTCACTTTCTAAACCAATCACTGTGGGGATTTGTTTTCTCCATGCACTCCCCTGTGTGTTAGTCTGTCTCTCACCCTTCTCTGCAACTGCAGCTCTCTCCCCACTGCAGCAGCATGACTCATCTCCCAAACCTCATCTCCATACTTCCTAACTTCTTCAATATGGCCTATTCTCTACTTTTACTTGTGGAGTATGTTCTGGCAGTCTTCAGGTCAATTTCTAGGGTATTCAGAATGATTTCATAGTTATCTAGTTGTGTTCAAGGGGTGAGGTGAGCCTAGGGTTTTCTGACTCCACTGCCATCTTCCCTTCCCACACCCATTGTTCATATTAAATGGGTCAATAGTATGGTATGTTAATTATATCTCAATAAGGCTGTTATTTAAAACATTCTTTGGTTTGTGAATATTTTTTTCTTTTGTTTTCTAAAATGTTAACCTTTTTTTCTTTTGTAGCAAAAAGGCAGAAAACTCCTGAGATCTCACCATCATATGGATGTCTTCAGTTAGTAAGTACTATGTTTGCAAATGCCCTTTTTATACAAAGAGCTCAGCTTAGATGAACATAAGTCTTAAGATGGAAATACAAGATTTCTCCCAAAGTTGTAGAACAAATAAACTGGACCCACATAAGGGACATAATCTGCCAAACTGACATATCACAGATCCTTTTTTTTAAAAGTTTATTTATTTTGAGGGCGCTGGGCAGAGAGAGGGAGAGAGAGAATCCCAAGCAGGCTCTGCACTGTGAGCACGGAGCCTGATATGGGGCTTGATTCCATGAACTGTGAGAGCATGATCTGAGTTGAAAGCAAGTGTCAGGCACTTACCCAAGTGAGCTACCCAGATGCCCCAATACATCATAAGTCTTAATCAAAAAAGTCCTTAATGGGTTTTCTGTTCAAGATTTGACTTGCTGAGATGTGAAAAGGCATTAACCCATCTGACACTAAAAGGACAGTTCTTAGGAAAAACATAGCAGTCAATTAATAGGGCAAGGTGAAAGGGGCAACTTGCTATTTATAGTAAGGGATAAAGAATGAAACTAAGAATCAGGAAATCTAGGTCTGCCACTATACTTGGGATAAGTAATTTTGGTTTTGGTTAAATTAAGGTTGTCATTGCACTGACTCCTCCATGTCATTCACTTTCTTTTGTCGTAACAGTGGTAGTAAAATAACAGGGAAGTGCCACAATCACATTCCTATTACAGACAGGGATATGGAGGCAGAGAAAAGTGAAACTGTGTTCGCCTTTCCAAACCAGATGTGGCAGAGCTGAGATTCAAAACCAAACAAGCTGGCCCCAGACCTATGCTCTAACCCACTTCACCACCCCCATGCTGCACCTTGCACTCCTGCCATCTGTGCTGCTTTTCACAACATATCACAATTTTACACCCAATGTCTTTGCACGTGTTCTTTCTTCAGCCCAACTTTGCCACCTTACTAGCGGTGTGATCTTGGACAAATTAATAATTTTCTTATATGTAAAACGGAGAGACTAACATGTATAAACTCCTCAGAGTACTGTTATAAATATTAAATTAATTGAGATCATGCATGTCATGTGCCCGACATACAAGAAACATTCAAATTGTTGGCCTGCTGCTTCAACAGATGACACAGTACACAGGAGGCAGTGCATCCTTCACAGCTTAGCTTAATCACCAGCTCCTTCTGATGCCTTTCTTGTGCCTCCTCCTTGCTCATGCAGTGTAACTCTGTTTCTCCCTGGTTTTTCCTCTGGCGTACACTACACTATAACTCTAGGCCACACCATCGGCCAAACTATCTCCTCCCTAAGCTTCCCTGCTTCCATACTTGCCTCCCACCTCCAATTAATTCTTTATGGTGCAGAGTAATTTTTCTTAATTTTCCCAATAAGCCCAAATCTGATGATAACATTCCAAAGATTAAATTCCCTCATAGGTTCCTATTCTTCAAATAAAGCCCAAATTCCTAATATGGCCTCTACTGGCCTATATAATCAGAGCCCATGTACCCCTTCAGGCTCACCTCTCTAATTCCCCTGCCCATCTTATCACCTCACATTCTGCTCCAGCCATTTGAACCGGCCAGTGCCTCTTCCTGCATCAGGCTCTAGCATAGATATCACTTTCTCTGGGAAGCTTTCCAAACCTTCACTTCTGGGTTAGGTACCCCTCTCAGTGCTCCCTTGGCTATTTAAGTACATGATGCCTCAATTAGAATAGACACTTCAGGAGGGCAGGAACCTTGCTTACTATTGTAGCCTAAGTGTCTAGAACAATGCCTAATATACAGTATATACTCAATACATATTTCTTAGATGAGTGAGTATGTGGATTTGTTTGAATGTATATCTGTTCTACCACTGTGTGGTAGAATCTCCTGCTTCACACATCCCAGGACCTAACTGCCCATCTATTACAAAGTAGGGCCCTGATAAACATGTGTCCGTGACCGGGTTTCAGTCTTCTGAGCAGAAAAGGGACACTTAATTCCTTCCCACTAGAAAATTATTTCTCTAAGAAGGAAAGAAAACTACAAGAGATCTCCAAAATGTATAGGAATGTCTGTGGAAATGATAATTCCAACTGGCAGAAAGTAGGCTCCAGTGAAAAAAGTATTAGCTTAAGAATATCTTGATACAATTTGTATTTCTGCTTGGTTGTGACTTATCTTTTCTCTTATCACTAGATCAATATAAACTGAAATGGAGGCCAAGTAGGGGTGCTGAGTGGCAACTCTGCCAAAAGAAGGGAATGGGAACTAAAAATAAAATGTCATGTTGCCTGGCTGGCTCAGTCAGTACAGCATTCTTGATCTCGGGGTTGTGAGTTCAAGCCCCACATTGGGTGTAGAGATTACTTAAAAATAAAATCTTAAAGGGGCATCTGAGTGGCTCAGTTGGATAAGTGTCTGACTTCAGCTCAGGTCATGATCTTGTAATCTGTGGGTTTGAGCCCTGTGTCCAGCTCTGTGCTGACAGCTCAGAGCCTGGATCCTGCTTCAGATTTTGTGTCTCCCTCTCTCTGTCTTTCTGCCCCTCTCCCACTCATACTCTGTCTCTATCTCTCTCAAAAATAAATAAATATTAAAAAATGAAAAAAATCTTAAAAATAATAAAAATAAAACATCAAAAAGAAATAGTCACATATAGTAGCTAATGCTGCTAATATATATTTAATTATCTACTTTTTCTCAGGCAACAGGATAAATACTATGGTTGACAATGATCAATTCTCAGATATCACCTCTGTAAAGCCATAAGTCACATTCCAAGCAATTTTATGCTTTTGTTTTTTGTTTTTTTTTTTAATTTTTTTAAATGTTTTATTTATTTCTAGGAGAGAGAGAGAGAGACAGCATGAGCAGGGGAGGGTCAGAGAGAAAGGGAGTCACAGAGTCTGAAACAGGCTCCAGGCTCTGAGCTGGCAGTAAGCACAGAGCCCGACGCGGGGCTCGAACCCACGAACCGTGAGATCATGACCTAAGCGAAAGTCGGACGCTTAACCGACTAAGCCACCCAGGCGCCCCTATGCTATTGTTTTTTTAAAAATGTTTATTTATTTATTCTGAGAGAGGGAGAGAGATAATGAGTGAGCACAAGCAGGGGAGGGGCGGAGAGAATCCCAAGCAGGCTCTATACCGTCAGCACAGAGCCCAACATGGGTCTCGATCCCACAACCCTAGGGTCATGATCTGAGCTGAATTCAAGACACTTAACCAACTGAGTCACCCAGGTGTCCCCGCAAGCAATTTTGAATCATCTAGATTGTTAACCAACAAAGAAAAAATGGAAAGGAAAAGTAATATGTGGCTAAGGTGATTAACTGCCTTACAGTCATTACCAATCCTCACCATGTTTTTGGAGAATCTCCTGTAGGTCTGGCTTGGGTGCAGTATCCATCGTGCTTTCCCCATCAGCACTTCCTTCAGTATCCTCTTCTGTAGCTGAAGAGCCTACTGAGAGAACATGAAGTTTGGTTTCCAAATCTTGAGCATCTGGCTTCAAAAAGGCAGCTGGACCATCAATGCCTATGGTCCAAAAGAAAGGAAAAAAGAGGAAAATATTATCCATTATTTAGCTGGGTGGTTTGGGTACATGTGATCAGAATTAAGAACCACCAAATCGTTTTACTTCTTCTTCTTTAACATCCACACAGACATTTGTTAATAAAGTAGCTCAGGACTGGTGTTCATTTTATTAACAGTGTGACTGTCACTAAATAAAATGTACTTGAGTGTATGCTTTAGAAACTAAAGAACGAGACCATGAAAACAAAGTAGGTCTTCCAAAGTTCAGATCCTGTCCAAGTTAATAGCTCACCATCTCATGTGGTTCATTGAGTCCTATCTATTGGAAGAATGGATGCTCTCTACTACTCCTGGCTTCACGGTTAACTCTGTCATGATGCAACAATCAAGACAGTTAGTTCCTCAAATACGCCATTCTGGACTAATTCACTTGGCAATGAAAACAACAGTTCTAGGATGGACACGAACTTCAAGGTATCTTCCGCTGATTAAACCATGGCTTTTATTTTAACTCAAAGACCCAGAAAATAATTATAAAGATTTATGAAGGTACCTAGTAACAAGACTAATAATTGTGCCTCTGGTCCATCTGACACTCCTCCTGCCTCCTCCTAGGTTTATGAAAACTGTACCCTAGTGGGAAGAGATGCTGCCTAAACACACACCATGTAGGATGACATCATTCTGTGGGGTATGAGGCTCCACCAAAGGAGTTTGCTCTTCGCTACCTCTTGGCTTTGAGCGACGTAGCCTTGCTTCTGGATTTGGCTGTACCATGAGTGGTTCAAGGCGCTTTTTTCTCTGCTTCTTCTCCAGCAGTGCTCTCTAGGAAAAAATTGATATTATAGCCAAAAGTGTTATGATGAGACCTAGCTGCTTTGAACATTTACTGTTTTTCACTAATCCACACAAACCTCTTGTGAATTAATTTATCCTGATTAAGACATGGCAATATTAAAGCACAGAGAGGGACAAGGGCTCACTCATTTTGTTTACTATATATTTACCGAACACCTTTGAAGATCCATTTAAAATGATACAAATACATTTCTAGCCAAGCTGAAGCCGTGATCTAAGTCTATTTAAAATATTTATAGTAATTATCATACTACTAAAGCATGACCACAAATTTAAAATACATAAACCTGCGTAGGGAAAAGATAAACACGGTAATGGTGATTTCTTTGGGTGGTAAAATATGGAAATTTTTTTCCTTTTTCTAGTTTTTGTATTTTCTAACTTTTATAACTGAAAAAAAAAACTTTGTATCCTCTAAACTTCAAAGTATTTTCATATTTTAATCAGCTATGGAGCAGTGACTTTTCCTTTCTTGCTCATTTTTACACAATCAGAAATTAAACAAATCAGGGCCGAAAATAAAGAGGGAAAAAAACCTTGCAGTTGGGACATTCTAAATAGAAAGCAATCAACTCTGGATAAAAGTGATAGAGAATATGGTAGCAAGGAAACATGAGGGACTCTGAGAAAAAAGCCCAATATGAAGAAAAGGAAGGTACGAGCATATATATTATTTTTAAGCTTTGACAAATAAGAGTTTATAATACCTGGAAATTATTATGGATCTGGGATATCTCAGAATAGGAAAGTGCCAAGCCCCAAGCTAAAAAAGCTAAAATCTTTGATTTTAAAGCAAAGATATTATAACCTTTTTTATTGTTTCTTAGGCAAAAAGCTATCTATTTACTTTTTTTCACTGATACTGCTTTTAAAAAGTGCCACGAGAAGAAGAGTTACTCCATGGGGTGAGACAATAAGTAGAAAAGGATGTATGTTTTTCCATGACTGGGCTCATGAAAGCACATGGGTAAATTCAGAGGACACAGAAGAAACAGAACTACGCTTTACCCAACCCCGCGAGTAAGAAAAGAGACTAGGGGGTGAAGATAATGTGGCTGAAATGGACTATTCCATCAAGAATGAATAAAGGTTAGAGGAAGCTGGGAAGAAATAACTGAAATTTCTCAGATTATTTTGAGACTCATGAATTGATATGAATAGATGGACCTTAATGTAAAATGAACACTAAACACAAAAGAGGTTCTAATGAGCTTTTCCTCACTGCACTTGCTGATATGGTTCTTCTAGCAACTGAGAAGTCTTACGTAATGGCTAAGAAGCAAGATGGCTGAAGAGACGAGACGTGAAACATACAGACGTGAGAAAGTGCTGCCATCTATGTGGCCACAGTTATCTAGTCTCATATAGTCTCATTTCTGGCAACAATGGATGAAGCAAAGATACAAGCCATAGCCAATCCATTCTGTTAACATATGTAAAGAAAAAGTGTTCTAAAGGAAAGGGGTATTCTGCTGGTGGTCCAGAAAAGGGCAGCCAAAGACCAAGAATTTGACCGAGTTTATCCACTCTGTCCCAAAACAGAGAAATGTTGAATCTGGTAGACAAGAGTATTCAATTTCCTGGGAGAGCTTAGTCTGTTTGTGGACAGGAGACCATAGAAGGGCTTCTTCGTGGCCTTGGGGAAATGTCCCTCGAGACTACTAATTTCATTTCCTCAGAGGCCCTGCTTACCAACCAGCATTCTGATTTTCAATTAACTTCTTAGGTATCATGTTCCCAGAGCAGGAAGGCATGAGCAGCACAGATGAATGTATACTGGAAGAGCTGCAGTTCTCATTGTAGATTAAAAAACTGGCGTCTGGTTTCATACCTGACTGTTGTGAGTTTGACCAATGTGAGTTTGTGCCAAAGGACCTCGTTACATTTAGGTCCATGGACAAAACCAGTGGGGAGACCAGTGGTCCTCCCAGTGTGCGTGGTGAAGCCTTGCTCTGTCAATGTCAACACCAGTCATGCTTATTTAGATCAACAACTTGAGGGGAAATCAACAACTGCAGATTTGAACTATGAACCTCAGGGCCACAGTTACTATATTACAGCACTGAATATAACCTACTATTGCCCAAGTCTGTAAACAAGAAAAAAAATCACAAAATACCTACAGGCAGGCAAACTGCCATTTTGGTGAAAAGCATCTCCTGATTTAGCATTCTAATCATCCTCACATAGTTTGGAGGAGGGAGAAGGTGAGTGTTAACTGAGCTTCAATGCAACAATGTCAACTCACATTTCATTCTGTTTTACCTTCCCTAAAAAGCTGTAAATGAGGCTGCATAAACAAAGGATTCCTTAAAATATTAGAGGAAGGATGGATAGTCAGGAAGAGAGCCACAGGTGACTATTTGATGCCCTCAATGCAATTAAAATATGTTGCTTTCAAGACCTTCAGTGTCACAGGGCAAAACCTTTAAATTTCCCAATTTCCTTGGAAACTGAACAGTATCTTTTCCAGAATGTGGTGGCATGTCCTATTATCACTACCAGGGAGCAAAATGTTGAATGGAAATTCCAAAATAAATAAGGAAATAAAGGAGATTAGATGGGGGGGATTCCATTAAATGGCATCATTCAAGAAAATAATAAAGCTCAGGCAAGCCTCAAATTGATGAGAGTCTGACTTGACTGATTCTCAATTTTCCACAAAGACTCCCTAGAAGTGATGGGCTGGTTCAATATGACACTTTTGGAACAGATTCACTGACCAAGACGGACAACCAGCAAGTTCAGAATGGTTGCCTGCGCTCTAACAGTTTGGCTAAAAACTAATCTTCCTGGCACACAAAGTGAGATCATAAGATGAGACTAAAGTTTTTAAATCATACTTCTTTTTTTTTTAGAGAGAGAGACAGAGAGAATGAGTAGGACAGAGGGAGAGAATCTTAGGCAGGCACCACACTCAACACAGAGCCCGACACAGAGCTAAATCCCACGACCCTGGGATCATAACCTGAGCCAAAATCAAGAGTCAGATGCTCAACCAACTGAGCCACCCAGGCACCCCTAAATTATGCTTCTTAAAATATCAATTCAGGGGCACCTGGGTGGCTCAGTCGGTTGAGCGTCCAACTTCGGCTCAGGTCATGATCTCACGGTTTGTCGGTTTGAGCCCCGCATCAGGCTCTGTGCTGACAGCTAGCTCAGAGCCTGGAGCCTGTTTCAGATTCTGTGTCTCCCTCTCTCTCTGACCCTCCCCTGTTCATGCTGTCTCTCTCAGAAATAAATAGAAACATTAAAAATTAAAAAAATATATATCAATTCAGTGCACCAATGATCACCTCTTTTTAGGAACAAACAGATGAGCAACCTGACCAAAAAGGACTATGTTGTAATTCAATCTATTGTCCACCAGATGGCATAGATGCTCTCCACCTAATGTGCATCCAGGGCAGAGTAACATCCCTAAAAGAGTCTAAAAATCTTTACAATCTATATAGCCAGCTAAGGAGTTCACATACCCTGAAAAAAAAAAAAAAAAATGAGTACCCTAGAGAAACTAGTAACAATAAAAACAAAATATACTCAACGAGAAAGAATGCCTTTTCAATAATGGTGCTGGGACAACTGGATATCCATATGTAGAAGAATGAAGTTGGAATCTCATCTTATACCATATAGAAAAATTAACTCAAAGCAAATCATAGGAGCAAGTCTTGGTAATCTTGGGTAAAAGCAATGGTTTCTTAGATATGACACCAAAAGTCTAAGAGAGAGGAGAAAAAATAAATTAAAACTCTATGCTGAAAACAATACTATTAAGAAAGTAAAAAAGAGGGGCACTTGGGTGGCTCAATCGACTAAGCATCTGGCTTCAGCTCAGGTCATGATCTTACAGTTCGTGGGTTCGAGCCCCACGTTGGGCTCTGTGCTGACAGCTCAGAGCCTGAAGCCTGCTTCTGATTCTGTGTCTCCCTCTCTCTCTGACCTTCCCCTGCTCACGCTACCTTTCTCTCTCTCTCTCTCTCTCAGAAATAAATAAAACTTTAAAAAAATTTTTTAAAAAGAAAGTATAAAAGACAACCCACAGAATTGGAGAAAATATTCACAAATGATACTTCTGATAAGGAACTTGGATCTAGACTGTGTAAAGAACTCTTATAATCTAACAACAAAAAGACAATAACCCAATTTAAAAATGGGTTTTCTCCACTTCTCCATAGAGGACATACAAAGAGCCACTAAGTCCATGTTAATGCTCAACATCGTTAGTCAGTAGGGAATTGCAACTCAAGACTACAATGAGATACCACTTCATACTCACTAAAATGGCTGTAATCAAAGACAGACAATAGTAAGTGCTGACAAGGATGTGGAGATGCCAGAGCCCCCAGACATTGCTGTATAAAATGTATAAAATGCCAGAGCCCCCAGACTGTATAAAATGGTTCAGTGACTTTTGAAGAGTTGTCTGGCAGTTCCTTAACATGTCAAACACAGAGTTACCATGTGACCCAGGAATTCCACTCCTACTACCCGAAGTATAGTAGGTACACCTTCGGATACCTATACTTAGATACACTAGACAAGAGAGATGAAAGCATGTCTGTACAGAAACCTATACACAAATGTTCAGAGCAGCATCATTTGTAATAGCCAAAGAGCAAAAATAACGCAAATGTCCATCAACTGATGAATAGATAAACAAAATATGGAGTATCCACAACTAGGAATGTTATTCAACAATAAAAAAGACTGAAGCAGTGATATATGTAACAACAGGATGAATATTTTCCTAAGTCAAAGAGGCCAGGGGTGCCTGGGTGGCTCAGTCAGTTAAGCGTCCAACTTCAGCTCAGGTCATGATCTCACAGTTCGTGGGTTCGAGCCCTGCATCAGGCTCTGTGCTGACAGCTCAGAGCCTGGAGCCTGTTTCGGATTCTGTGTCTCCCTCTCTCTCTGCCCCTCCCCTGTTCATGCTCTATCTCTCTCTGTCTCAAAAATAAATAAACTATAAAAAAAAAAATTAAAAGAGGCCAGACACAAATGACTACATATTATAGGATTCCATTTTATAGGAGGTCTAAAAATCATTGGTACACTTTCTTCTCAAAGTTATTTTGAGAGAGAGTGTGTGTGTAAGTGGGGGAAAGGGCAGAGACAGCAGGAAAGAAAGAGAACCCAAGCAGCTCCATACCACCAGCACAGAGCCCAACGTGGGGCTTGAACCCACGAACCATGAGATCATGACCTGAGCCAAGATCAAGAGCCAGATAATCAACTGACTGAGCCGCCCAGGGAGCCCTCATGTGTACACTTTAACTTGGTGTATATTTACAGTGTGTGAATTAGAGCTCAATAAAGCTGTTCAAAAGCCTATATAGGACAAAAATAGCCATGTCTAAATTATTTGTAAATCTAGGATCTTTAAACATTAAATCCTAAGATCATACTAACAGGGGAAAAGACAGATATGAAAGAAAATAACCTGCTCGGTACTACTGAAACATGGATGGTGAAAGAATCAGTTAAGAGAAGGAAAGTGGTCAGTGTGGAAATAAAGTGGGACAAAACTTAGAGCTATCTTGTGTCTCTAGCACTCTGCAAGGCAGGGAGTGGCCTGGCCAGAGACTCACTACCTCCTTCCATTGGCAAGTGTATTGCTTGAGTAGAGGTGAATTAATTATACTGTCACACAATGATATTTACCATAAATATCATTTTACAAACCCACTTGCTCTGATTTCAAACTTACCAGGAAATTTCCCAATTGCAAACGTCCTACAGATAGGAATGTGATGACCAGCTGAGTCTGTTATATATAGTTCACTAGAAATTAATGAATTAACCCCCTGATTTAGAGTCCTCACTTATGAACTGGTTAGTATGAACAATCCTCATGAGACTTGGGAACTTTGGCTGCTCCTAGCAAACTATCTCTCTCATCCTACAAAATTCATCACCAATGACTCAACCATGGGAATATTCCCAAAGCAGGACTCCTAAGATGTTAATCTACTGTATACATCAGGCAGGGGTAAGGTTCCCCTAGGCTCTCCCATGTCCACTGATAATCACTGCCAGAGTAAGCCACTGTCGTGGATGGGAGTGCACAATATGCCTCGGGTAGGTTGGCAGGCCCTGGACTGTGAGTCTTCCATCAAGATCCTACCAGCCTACGAGGCCCAGACCGAGCAGCAGTCTAGCCTTCCTCAATGTACATACATCTCAGCTCTAACTTCCATAGTCTAAGATCCTATCTAATATTCTGTTATCCAGTCTGACCTCACTCTACAGATGAAATAGGAGGGACCAGAGTTTAAGAATCTTACCTAAAATCAGAGGTGCCTGGGTGGCTCAGTCGGTTAAGCATCTGACTTCAGCTCAGGTCCTGATCTCACTCACAGTTCGTAAGTTCGAGAGTTTGAGCCCTGGGTCAGGCGCTGTGCTGATGGCTCAGAGCCTGGTGCCTGTTTCAGATTCTGTGTCTCCCCCTCTCTGCCCCTCCCCTGCTCATGCTCTGTCTCTCTCTGTCTCTCTCTCAAAAATAAACATTAAAAAAAATCTTCCCTAAAATTATATAGCTAATTAATGGCAGACTAAAAACTAGAACCAAAGGCTTCTGATGCCCCGCCCTATGTCTTATTCATTCTGTAGAGCTGCCTTTGTTACAGGCCATTTGAACACTCAGCTTTCATTTGTGGAAATTCCCTTGCCCCCTGTTGAGCAACCTCCTTCTTATGCCTGAGGCAGTGTTTCAGGCCCCTTACTTATTCCCACACACTATTTAACACCAACGATTATACATCAGGCCCGGAAATTTTTTGAAATTTAATACAAAATTTTATGTCTTGATATTCACTGACTACCTCTAGAAAGATACATTAAAAGTCAGTGACAGCCTCCGGTAAAGAACGAAGCCAAATAGAGGAGAGACTGTTCACGAAATATCTTTTCTTTATTATTGGAATCCATACCATATGCTTTTATTGCCTATATAAAAATTTAATTTTATAAAAAAAGTGTCATAAAAAGGCTTTACAAAATCCCAACATCTATTTATCACATACATATCACGTGTAGCATTCTCACTGAAAAGAATAAAAACTACACAAATATTTGGGCCCCCTTTTAAAATAAAAGAAAATATGTCTCTAAATTCAAAAACTTATGTCTACTATGTTATTTCATAGATGACTATAGATTTTAGATGTTAGCACAGTATGTATCAGTTAGCCTTATAAAAATAAATCAAAGATCTACAATTTTGTGGGCACATCTCTGTAAATACAGTTTGCTATGCAATGGACTACAGAAAATAAAGGGCCTATTCTCAAGTATTTCGATCTCTTTTGTGTGTGGTAGGGAGGGTAAGTATAAGTAGAAATATATATATAATTAGAATTTTCCCCATGATCCCAGTTAGATTAGTTTCCTTCCTAGTTTTATGTTATGTTTTCCTGGTATTCGAAAGGATTGTTTATTTCATACCCTTCACCAGACAACTTTACAGATGTGTGCAGAACACTAGGGGGGGTCTCTGCTTAGAGGCAGCCCACCTCATGGAGGAAAATAATGAGACAACCATCTATAATTGCTAAGAAGTTTTTTGCCATTTTCCTGCTCCACTGTGCAAAACTAGATGTGCTTAAAATGTCCATGGGTCTCTTTAAAGGAAGCAGGGTGGAGGGAGGGTACAGCTGGTATATTAACCTCAGCAGTGGTTCCCACAGAAACCTACCGATAAAGAACACTACAGCCAGGCTCCCCCAGGACAGGTCACTCATGTCAGGGTCCCCAGCCTTCTGAGCCCGTATCCCCTGGGGATCCCTAAGCCCCGAAGTGGATTTTACTGACACACGCCAAGATACAGGTACCCTTGGGGTTCACGTGGCCCTCCCCACGTGGAAGGTGGGTTCTGAACACCAGGCTGCACAAGCATTTTCACGGTGGTCTGGGGACAGGCAAGCTCTGTGTGTGTTCATCTGGGTGCAGGGAGAACCCAAGGCAGGTGGGGCCCAGAGCACAGTGTCCAGTGGTACTTGTCCCCGCTGACCAGCCCTCCAGGGCCCTCACCAGGGGTGGAGAAGCTGTGGTTGTCATGTGCCCAGCTAGGTGGCTCCAGACAGGCCTCTGTTACTATTTAGACCCTGAAGCCGATGGAGCTAGACGACTGGGGCCACAGCTGCGCGGCCCTGTCCTAGTACCCAGGCTGCTCCCCTCTGTGCATTTCATGATGCAGCATGTGACAAGGGCTAGGGCCTGTGCAAGATGATGGCACAGCTGATGATGGAGGCCACCACGGCCACCTAGAAGCCAGACGTCTCCTATGGGGGCACAGGCTTGCACACAGGGAATCCCTGACAACCACTGGGCAACGTTCCCCTTCCAGCTGCACGTGAGGAGGCCGGACCCCATCATTTGGTGACTTGACTGTCATTGCAACACAATGACAGTCTCCACCATCGCCATGAAAGACTTAGAAGGTGCCATTCAGGGGCGGCCACACATGAGCACAAGCGCCAGTGCTGTTCCTGGGGCCAGTGTGGTGTTCCAACCCACAGGGGCCGCATCGTACAGTGAGGGGGCCTGCACATCCCCACGTTTTTAACAAAAAGACCTTTTCCCCAGTTTTTAACAAGTCCACCTTTAAAGCAATTTATTACACTAGAAATCCCATTGTTAATTCAACATTAAATAAGACAAAACTTTAGAGGTATGTATAACCACCTAGAGTCCAGACACTCTGTTAATGACCCTACAAAGGAAGACTAGAGCTATAGAATGTCCTGAATTAGAAAACATGCACAAATGAAAGCAAGATATGTTGGAGAAACGTTCTAAGCTGACTAACAATGATGATCATAGCATATAACGACACACAAGTGTTCATTTATTCCTTCCTTCCTTCAAATATTTAATGAAGGATTATTATGTGCCCAGTCCTATGCTAGGAACTTCTGATCTAATGGTCATCATAAACAGACTTGGCTCCGGTTCTCATGGAGCTCAGTCTAGTGGAGGAAACAAATAGAAATCAAACCACTGAAGAAAAGAATGAATGTGTAACTGAACATCGGGACCAGTGCTGTGAAGAAAACTGTGCAATGAGGGTTTTATGCAGGCACTGCAGCAGGCTCAGATCTGCATTTGAGAAAGAGAAAACCACTGTAGTTCAATGAAATTGAATGAAACTGTAGTTCATTGAAATTACAATGTAGAGAGATATTTAAAGGCAGCAGGACCAAAATACTATACAGAAATACAATGTTAACATTCTTCTAATTCTTAGGAAAGGTGCCAAGGAATTTCCAGTGATTATAAATCCAAGGCCAGTTTTATGGCTGTGCTCTCAAGGCCCTTGGGTCTTGCCAGAGCCCAGGGCCTTGGTTCAGCAAATACTAACTCCAGACACTGCTTAGTTACAACATCAGAGCCTCTCCCTGTTCTGTCTTCTTCCCATGACTCTACCAAAACTTCAGAGTCCAAGACCATCAGCATCGTGGTCAGTATAGCTGTCCACTTATTTCAAAACAGCAGGGAGCCTCCTGACTTGCTCACCTGATTATCTAGTTTCAGCTGGCGAAGCTTCATGGTCTCATCTTCAAAGGCACTATTTAAAAAGGAAAACAAAAGCATGTAAAGAGAAAATTCTGTTAAAATCATGTCAATTTCATATTCTCCATACTCCCCTGGGCTAATTGGAACCAAATGATTCTTCTTTAGAGAAAGCATCACTTTCTAGATGTCACCTGACACTGGCTACGGAAGGACTTGCCACACTTATTCCATGGAGGACCTCGGGAGACTGAAGTCCCCAATACTGGTAAAAAAAAAAAAAAAAAAAAAAGATGTAGAACACAGACTCCCATGTATGCAGGAATTAAAAAAAAATTTTTTTTGGTTTTACTTATTTTTGAGACAGAGACAGAGCACAAGTGGGGCAGGGGCAGAGAAAGGGGGAGAAACAGAATCTGAAGCAGGTTCCAGGCTCCGAGCTGTCAGCACAGAACCTGATAAGAGGCTCAAACCCGTAAACCGTGAGTTCGTGACCTGAGCTGAAGTCGGACGCTTAACTGACTGAGCCACCCAGGCGCCCCATGGAATTTTTTTTTTTTTAATATTTTTATTTATTTCTAGGAGAGAGAGAGAGACAGCGTGAGCAGGGGAGGGTCAGAGAGAGAGGGAGTCACAGACTCCGAAACAGGCTCCAGGCTCTGAGCTGGCAGTCAGCACAGAGCCCGACGCGGGGCCGGAACCCACGAACCGAGAGATCATGACCTAAGCGAAAGTCGGACGCCCAACCGACTAAGCCACCCAGGCGCCCCTTTTTTTTTAAACCATATGTTGGGTACTAACTATAGCCCAGACACAGTGCTAAGTATCTAATATGCATTGTTCCTCAGACAATCCTACAAATTAGGCACTATTATTCTTCACACTTTGAAGATGGAGAAACAGATTTAGAGGCCTACGCATAAGGTTAAACAGCCAAAACAAACCCTAATCCAGGTCTCTTTCCAGAGTCTAAATCCCACCTAAAAATCCAATATATTTTTCTTCTTTTCTGAAGCTAGTTCTAAGAAACAGAACTGGACTAAAATGGGGCTTGGGGCAGGCTGCCCCCAACTATGTAAAAGTAGCACACTGATAATTCTGAATTAAAGTTCACTTGAGAAACAGCCAATGCAAGCACATTCTGACCATCCTCTCTGTCCCCATGAAAGCAGGAAGTCAATTTCCCATGTATAAGGCATGCTTCCTGTACCAGGAGGTAAAAAAACATTTATCGCCAGAAATAGAGAATTCAAGGCCTAGAAGTCAATGTACACAAACTCTGCTTAAGTTCTTCACTAATTACTAGCCAAGGCTAAGGTTCTTTGTCTTGTCATTTCCTCACAAATTTATTGTTTCTTTCTCTAAAAGGTATATAAACCACCTGCTTTGGTCACTTCTTAGGTTCCATATCTATGAGACCTCCATATGTACAAAAATTTTTTTCCTATTAATCTATTTTGTGTCAATTTAGTTGACCAGCCAAAAGAACCAAGATGGGTAGGGGGAAATTTTCCTCACCCTGACAATTGTGTATAGCATCTGACTATACCCCACTGATATCCTTAAGATCTAGGCAGTCGGGCACCTGGGTGGCTCAGTCAGTTGAGTTCCAACTTTGGCTCAGCTCATGATCTCATGGTTCATAAGTTTGAGCCCCACAGAGCCCCACATCGAGCGTGCATCGGGCTCCATTGGGCTCACTGCTGTGAGTGCAGAGCCCCCTTCGGATCTTCTGTCTTCCCCGATCCCCCACCCCTCCCCAGCTTGCTTTAAAATAAACATTTTAAAAGATTTAGGCAAGTCATTTAACTTACTTTGCAAGTTTCCCATTAATAAAACATGATGCCAGTCATGGAAGGAGACTATAAGCATGGCTGAACAGATAAAACTTAACAGCACTAGGAGACAGATTTGTTTGATAGAAGAAAACAACAACAAAAAATGGAATCAAATGACTGTCTTCAACTGATAAACCAAATGCCTTTGAACTTAAAAAAAAAACAAAAAAAAAACCTTTCTCTGAAGCCTTTTCTATTTTTGAGAATTTTCTAATTTAAGATTTTATTTTGTGACTCAGAATTCTTGGAAACAGTAGAGTATGAAACAAGGCAGAAATGGTTCTCAACTATTACTATTTATAATAATAGTAATTATTATTTGATTATAAATTCTTCTGGAGCTTACTATCAGAATCTATTTGAGAAGATAGATTCCATGACTACCAAGGGAAGCAGGGCCTATCCTGCATTTGAGGTAAAAATACCAAAACATCTATTTATAGCTTAATGGTTTGCCACTACCTTCACACATTTTAGAAGGTTTTATGCATTTTAATAATGCATAGCAACTTGGAATATGTGTACTATCTCCAAGACTCCTGTCTACTAATCTATAAGCAGGGATTTTTTAATGTTTATTTTTGAGAGAGAGAGAGAGAGAAAGAGAGGAGAGCGCATGCGTGAGCAGGGAAGGGGCAGAGACAGAGGGAGACAGAGAATCCCAAGCAGGCTCTCCGCTTATGCAGGGCTTGAACCCAATGGTGAGATCATGACCTGAGCAAAAGCCATACGCTTAATCGACTGAGCCACCCAAGCTTACAGCCCAAACCTGTAAGCGTATTTCATAAACCCTTAGATATAGATGACATTCTGGTTCTCTGACAGAGAGAACTTTAATTTTCTATTAATTAATTTCCTATTAAATTTCCTTCTAAACTATATCCTTAAAAAATTGCTGGGTATTTAAAATAAATCATCTCCTTTATCCCAGTTCAAAAGAAGGACACACAAACAAATAAAAATGTCAGATATGATATACTCAGGCCTTGACTTTGTCAGTCCCTAACATTTCTCCTAGATATGTTCCTGTTTTCCTTCATGTTTTTAATATTCATTCACATATTTTTAAACCCTAGCTTTATGAACACAGTACTAGATTATTAGTATTTAGTGGATATTAGTATAAATTTGAAAAATCCTATATAAAATGACTAAGACAAACAATTATGAATATTAGGATATATAGGGAAAAATTATGAATATACAGGAACAGGTAACATGGTAAAAAAAAAATGCACTGTTATGTGCTGGTATTTTCAACAGCTATTGCTATGAATCCTGCTTCTCCTCTAACTCACTTTGCCTTCAACACTAAACTAGAATTGCAAAACCCGCCTGGCACGGAAAATAAATCATCCTATCCCACCCCCAACCCCACTTCTACACACACACACACACACACAGTGCTAAAACCTCAATCATGCTGAATTCTGACACACCTCTAAAGTCCTCAAAGACTTCTCTTAAGGAGTGTATCTTCAATGCCAATGTCAATGCCAATCTCAACACCATGTAATTCCTTTCATCAAGCCTGGGCAAGCTGAACAGGCTGTGTTTTGGCCTGAACAAAAGCAGCACTAAAAATATGCTATATAATTATAACATTTAGATACCTCCTATACATCAAGAGCTATGCTTTCTTTGAGCTCTAGTTTTAAGTTGTAATTTAGCAGAAATAACAGATATTTTATATACTTACATTAATCTGACCTAGAATTTCTGGTCTAAACTAGAATATGATCTTACTAAATTTTCATTTTTTTCCTTTAATACTCTCTCTTTCCTTTAAAACAAAATTGTTTACTGACTTCAAGCTGTATTACAAAGCTGTAATCATCAAGACAGTATGGTACTGGCTCAAGAACAGATGCGCAGATCAATGGAACAGAATAGAGAACCCAGAAATGGACCCACAAATGTAGGGCCAACTAATCTTTGACAAAGTAAGAAAGAATATTCAATGGAATACAGACAGTCTCTTTAGGAGGTGGTGCTGGGAGAACGGGACAGCGACATGCAGAAAAATGAACCTGGACCACTTTCTTACATCATACATAAAAATAAACTCAAAATGGATGAAAGACCTAAATGTAAGACAGGAAGCCATCAAAATCCTCGACGAGAAAGCAGGCAAAAGCCTCTTTGACTTTGGCCGCAGCAACTTCTTACTCAACACATTTCTGGAGGCAAGGGAGACAAAAGCAAAAATGAACTATTGGGACCTCATCAAAATAAAAAGCTTCTGCACAGCGAAGGAAACAATCAGCAAAACTAAAAGGCAACCAATGGAATGGGAGAAGATATTTGCAAATGACATATCAGATAAAGGGTTAGTATCCAAAATCTATAAAGAATTTATTAAACTCAACACCCAAAAAACAAATAATCCAGTGAAGAAATGGGCAAAAGACATGAATAGACACTTCCCCAAAGAAGACATCCAGATGGCCAACCAACACATGAAAAAATGCTCAACATCACTCCTCATCAGGGAAATACAAATCAAAACCACAGTGAGATACCACCTCACACCCGTCAGAATGGCTAACATTAACAACTCAGGCAACAACAGATGTTGGCCAAGATGCAGAGAAAGAGGATCTCTTTTGCACTGCTGGTGGGAATGCAAACTGGTGCAGCCACTCTGTAAAACTGTATAGAGATTCCTCAAAAAATTAAAACTAGAACTACCTTACAACTCAGCAATTGCACTACTAGGTATTTATCCAAGGGATACAGGTGGGCTGTTTCAAAGGGGCACGTGCACCCCAATGTTATAGCAGCACTATCAACAATAGCCAAAATATGGAAAGAGCTCAAATGTCCATTGATGGATGAGTGGATAAGGAAGATGTGGTGTATATATATGTATATATATACATACAATGGAGTATCGCTTGGTAATCAAAAAGAATGAAATCTTGCCATTTGCAACTATGTGAAGGAACTAGAGGGTATTATGCTAAGTGAAATTAGTCAGTCAGAGAAAGACAAATATCATGACTTCACTCATATGAAGACTTTAAGATACAAAACAGATGAACATAAGGGAAGGGAAGCAAAAATAACATGAAAACAGGGAGGGGGACAAAAACATAAGAGACTCTTAAATATGGAGAACAAACAGAAGGTTACTGGAGGGGTTGTGGGAGGGGGGATGGGATAAATGGGTAAGGGGCATTAAGGTCTACTCCTGTAATCATTGTTGCACTATACA